TAATCATTTTAATTATCTTATCTTACTATTTTATTGTGATTTGACGGTAAACAAATATAATAATTATTTTAATTAATATCACAATATGACGCAACTATACTATCTCATTAATATCTGATATCAGTGAAGTTTGTAGATTTTATAGTCTGCCATTCATTTAAATGGAAAGATGATGCATAGTGAATGAAACTATACTTTGCTGTGTAGTAGAAACAACATTTCATCTTTGACAGTATACAAGTACATTAATTTCTCACCATCTGCAGAGGGGTTACATTTCTAAACAACACTGCAGGTGCAGAACTCTGATTTGCAGGAGGGGGTCTTATGGGAAGTTGGGAGTAAGGGAACCATAGCTGTTATTAACACTTATTGAAGTCTAAGTTCAGAATATACATAATACATTTAAAAATAAATTAGACATAAAATAAACATTGCAATGGTGATCTGAGAGGTATAAAAGTGATTTCATATTTCATTACAGCCTTTCGCACAGCAAATGTGGATTGGTTGGTATTGAAGACATTGATCTTTTCTGGCCACACTCGAATAAAAACTGCAAATATGTAAATCCATTTACCACTGTTGGCAAAATTTGGTACAGATGGGAAATTATGGATACTTGAAACATACTTTATTTATGTTCTTTTTCCTAAATATTTTTATACTTTAACCTTTAAAGTACCAGGCTTTTAAATCCGTATATTCCAAGCTGGCCTGAATTAAATCCCAGTTACACTGTGCTGTGCATGTGTATGTGTGTGTGTATGTATATATATATATATAACAATGTATCTTTATTAAAAATCCACATGCAACAATGAAATAAATTACATATTGTTCAGAAGATCTTACTTAACCACTTGGAACCATTCGTCAGACTGTCAACTCCGGAAGATTACTTTTAATTGGAAGGAATGTCTCACACATTTACATTTTCTGCCATCATTAGTTCCATGTTTTGAAAAATGTATTATTAATATATTTACCTTAAATGTGAATTTATCATGTAAATGTTTCTTTTGCGTCAGACATGCAAATGTAGAATATTTTTTGTTGCTGTCCACACACAAAGATAGCTTCAACCAACTTTTCTCCGCCTTATGACAGCCTAAAATTTGAGGGTCAGTTTTTTTTGGTACAGTTTCCAGCAAGTTGAAATGCACAAAGTTTCTTTTTCCCCCCTCCCACTCGAAGCTCTGTGACTTATGCCAGACCTCTTGCCCATCCTGTCACGTGTATCAACATAGCTCATGTGTGTTGTAGTTTGCACTGCTCGGGGCTTCAAAGCATTATTCGAACCGAAAGGTCCCATTGCCTGCCTCTCTTGTCTTTCCAGCACACTGCTGTGATGTTGTCATGATCTCAACTTACAGTACCCTTTTTTCTTCTCAGGGCCCTTGAACCAAAAATTTTGGGGCAGTTCTTCTGTTATGCCAAACAGTGTCGTAACAGGCACTTTTCCTGTTGTAGAGGTCACTGATGGTAGTTCACCTCAAAGTATCATGAACAATTTAGGTACATTCAGTTGTCAGCTTCCACAGGCGATCCTACTCCTGCGTTTCTCTGTAGTTGGTGTAGGGAGACAACAGCATAATATCGAAATATGAACAGATATGTTTTTTAATAATTGCTTTAGACAAGAAAGATATTTAGTACTGTTTGTGGTGCACCAGCACATCTTCTGGTGTCTCCTATGTAGAATAGGTTGCATGGAAAACTTCCTTTTCTTTGCTTGTGATACTCTGTGGTGGCAGGGTATCACAAGTAAAGAGTTGCTTGTGGGATATAATAACACTGACAGGAGTACAGATTTGATTCCACCAATAATAATGTGACCAAAAACTGTGCTAGGAATATTTGGAGTATCCAGTTAAAATAAGAATAATTCTTGATGTCAGGTGTTGCATTACGAGTCAACGCAACCCTGGGTCTTACAAATCCTTGTACCTGCCCGATACTCCTGCTGCTGCTACCCACTGCTGTTCTCGTCATTTCTCTTTTGAATAAGAAAGAACGTGTATTCCAGACAGTTGGCTCCTCATCTACAAGCTTCTCTCTTGTTCTAGATATAGTCCTCATACCATATTTTCTTCACTCAGTGGAGACATTTCAAGGGACCTGCTATTTATTTATTGATAATAAATTTTGTTGTGTAAATGAGAAAAATAATGCAAGTACATAATGGACATCGGCCCACACACCAATGATAAATGTACAGTGAAGTGAACACCAAATCGGATCATGCAGATATGAGTGTGAGAGTAAATGACGAAAAAAGTAAAGCCATCCCACTACACACCATGTAGGTCATTTGGGGGGAATGGAGGTATAGCTCCTACTTTTTCTTGACCTTGGCAGTAGATGAGGGTGAATTGTCAGCATCACGACCCGGCCGCACTTTACCCCTGGGAAAGAATCTCAGTACCCATTGGATAGGAGGCTGTGTGGGCCCCAGAGCAGGCCTGGATGCAGAGGCTAGAGGAAAAATCCTCTGCCCCCAGCGGGGATCGAACCCCAGTCATCCAGCCCGTAGCTAGTCACTATACTGACTGAGCTATCCCGACTCCCAGTAAATGACATGAAACCTTCGGAATTTGTTGCTTCAGCGAATCTTGGAATTGCAAAAGAAAATTACTAATGAAAGTATTTAATCGCATAGAATCCCTAAATGAAGCACACATATGTGTCTTTGGAACTACACTCTGAAAATAATGTTATACTCAACCTATAAATAAATCAGGAAACACTTCACAGCCCTGTGCTTAACGTTCATTTGCAAGTTTCGGAGTATAGCGGAAAATGAGACGGTAATTCCCCTTAAAATTCCTACCTGCTAGTTGATAAGGGAGGCTGTGTAAAAATAATTATAAAAGAAAGAAAAGTGGCCCTTTTGACAAGAAAATTTATGAAGGTTATGCGGTCATCCTTCTAGAGTACACTGACATCTCTTCATAGATCAGAATCAATCTGATGATCACAAATCCATGTCTTAAAACCTACGGTGGTCCAAGTAAGGATGTTAGTGCTGTGTCTTAAAAGACATGGTGAGCATTTAAACATTAAGTGGGTCATCTGAGAATCAAGCTTCCATCTACCTGTGTCTACCCATAGGTCCTCATTTCCTTCCCATGGTATTCATTCCATCTGTGTGACATCTTTCTTAACCTTTTGTTCCCATCTTGACCATGGTCTCCCTCGTGGGCGTTTTCCCTTTACTTTCATGTTCAAAATCTTCTTTGTACTTCTCCTCTTATTCATTATTAAAACATGTCCATTCCATCTCATTCAGTTATTTTTCAGTCTGTCTTCCAGTGTGTTAATGTTTTTATTTCTTACTCTGTTTTGGTCTTTCACTCGAACCTCTTAAAAAATCTCTTCTCTGCTGCCATCAATCTGCCTTTGTCCACATCCAAGTTTCTGCTTCAGACATTAACATGTGGCAACATTTAAGTAGGCATATTTTCCCCTTAGACATTTTCCATTTCCAGAGCACGTAGCTCATCAATTGGTAACATTTTCCTCTCTTTATACTTTCTTCCTTCTTTCTTCCATTTGTACTATTCTACTTTCTAAGTGTCGTGCTTAAAGTTCTCCAATCTTATTTCATGATTATATCACATTACATTTTATCTTTCCCATGCCTGCTGTCTTACAGCAGATTTTCATAACCACACATTCATTTAAAGTGAAGATATCCGTCTTCTGGGTTATTGCGCTGTGTAGTCTGGTCGATGTTAACCAATGTTTCAGAGGTCATACTGCCTCCGTCATCAGGGCGATGACGGAGGCAGTATGACCTCTGAAACATTGGTTAACATCGACCAGACTACACAGCGCAATAACCCAGAAGACGGATATCTTCACTTTAAATGAATGTGTGGTTATGAAAATCTGCTGTAAGACAGCAGGCATGGGAAAGATAAAATGTAATGTGATATAATCATGAAATAAGATTGGAGAACTTTAAGCACGACACTTAGAAAGTAGAATAGTACAAATGGAAGAAAGAAGGAAGAAAGTATAAAGAGAGGAAAATGTTACCAATTGATGAGCTACGTGCTATGGAAATGGAAAATGTCTAAGGGGAAAATATGCCTACTTAAATGTTGCCACATGTTAATGTCTGAAGCAGAAACTTGGATGTGGACAAAGGCAGATTGATGGCAGCAGAGAAGAGATTTTTTAAGAGGTTCGAGTGAAAGACCAAAACAGAGTAAGAAATAAAAACATTAACACACTGGAAGATAGACTGAAAAATAACTGAATGAGATGGAATGGACATGTTTTAATAATGAATAAGAGGAGAAGTACAAAGAAGATTTTGAACATGAAAGTAAAGGGAAAACGCCCACGAGGGAGACCATGGTCAAGATGGGAACAAAAGGTTAAGAAAGATGTCACACAGATGGAATGAATACCATGGGAAGGAAATGAGGACCTATGGGTAGACACAGGTAGATGGAAGCTTGATTCTCAGATGACCCACTTAATGTTTAAATGCTCACCATGTCTTTTAAGACACAGCACTAACATCCCGATGGCCTCTTGATGTCGAAACGCTTTTGGCATCAGTGTCCCTCAAAGTGTAAACAGTTTTGTTTGTATGCATGATTTACTTTCCAATACACATTCAAATATGGTTGTCAGGCCATGAACGAAGAAACAATAAGTGACTCCAAAACTGAAAAATACAATTTCCCGGTTATGATATCAACATATCGCAGATATAAAGAGAAGTTCTATGGAAACAAAATGCTTGTTAACCAACTTTAACCTTTAAAGACCTTACACTGGTATCCCTAGTTGGCCCACCATAGACTTTAAGACATGGCACACATCACATCATGTAACATGGCTTCAACGTGATTTATTTTCAGTTAATAAATATCACGCCCCTTGAATGGTCTCCATTTAAGTGAACAAAATATGGTACGATGACTGTATCTAAACCAAGATTCAGGAGAGAAGCTTGGGACATAGCTTATTTTTTTACAGAGATTTTATCGAAATAACTTGCAGATGATGGTACACGGAGAGCAGAGATAGTATCGGACAGATACAAGGATTTACAAGACCCAGTGTTGGGTTGGCTCATAATGCATTACCTAATATCAAGGATTATTCTTATTCCATTGCAGCCTCCTCAACTCTTCTTTGTGTAATTTATGATCAAGTTATTATTACAAGAATCAAACATGTATTGCCATCAGGATTACATCCTGCAAGAAATTTGTGGCCTCCCACTGCAGGGTATCACAAGCAAAGAAAAGGAAGTTTTCCATGCAACCTATTCTACATAGGAGACACCAGAAGATGTGCTGGTGCACCACAAACAGTACTAAATATCTTTCTTGTCTAAAGCAATTATTAAAAAACATATCTGTTCATATTTCGATATTATGCTGTTGTCTCCCTACACCAACTACAGAGAAACGCAGGAGTAGGATCGCCTGTGGAAGCTGACAACTGAATGTACCTAAATTGTTCATGATACTTTGAGGTGAACTACCATCAGTGACCTCTACAACAGGAAAAGTGCCTGTTACGACACTGTTTGGCATAACAGAAGAACTGCCCCAAAATTTTTGGTTCAAGGGCCCTGAGAAGAAAAAAGGGTACTGTAAGTTGAGATCATGACAACATCACAGCAGTGTGCTGGAAAGACAAGAGAGGCAGGCAATGGGACCTTTCGGTTCGAATAATGCTTTGAAGCCCCGAGCAGTGCAAACTACAACATGCAGCGTAGCATAACTGTGGGATATGGGGTTTTAAAAGTCTCGTCTTTCATGTGTGTGTATGTGTATCAACTATGTATAGAAGGTACTTCTCTGCGTATAAACGTACTGTGAATAATTTTAACATAGACATTTTTATTTATGAATTTGATATTATTGTTGCATTTTTTTTCACTAATCTTCATTTAGGCGCATTTTCATCTAAAAGTTTAAATTATGAGCCTTTTTGTTTTACCATGTCTCTGTGTTCCTGTCAGTTTTATCCTTACGTAACAAATCAAAAATGCTAAAACATATCTGAAATTGGGGCATTTATTAACATTTGTCACACTTTCCCCAATTTCAATTTAAATTGGACCGCTGGCACTGTACATGAAGGCTTACATGCATTATGAGTCAAATTTCAAATTCTGGTGAGTATACCTAAATTGTTACACCACGAATATGTTTCCTAACTTATTCGTAGAACTAATAGTGATGTACACTCGGTGCCCGAATGTAAGTGTGGAGCTTCTTACCATCTTACATCATATAAACTGTTCATATGAAAGTGGTCAGGCATAATTATGGCCATGCATTTCACTTTCTACACAAAGAAGTAAAGTTCTGGATTGTGCGCTAAAACTTATACCGTTGAATCCTTTCGTCCAGTGGTTATGTTAAACTACAGCATGGACAGTCTCGCAGCTTTGTGGTGACGCATCCTACTGACTTAGGGAAGGTCCACAAGGTAGAGTTCTACTGGGAGTACGACATGGACGTTCTGCAGCCTCGCTCGCTCTGCTTCTTCTGGTGCAACGATCATCTCTATGTTTCTAATATTCAGGTCACAGAAATGGATGTGACAACAAGAGGGTGAGTTAGTTTAGCTGCCTTTAGGCTCTCAGGAACAGGAAATAGGGTTTTGACAGTGTTAACACGTAGTGTAATTGTTTCTAAAAAGTTATATCGGGAGAAAGGTAAAATATTTACTTTTTTAAATATGTGGAATATGATTAAAGCCATTGAAATTATAATTTTTTTTCAGAATGGCCTCCTGCTGCCACAGTTTGCTTCATATTGAAGATGTCCATGATTAAAGCCATTGAAATTATCATTTTTTTTCAGAATGGTCTCCTGCTTCCACAGTTTGCTTCATATTGAAGATGTCTGTCTTCTGGGTTGTTGCACCGTGATGATGGAGGCAGCAAGGACCTCTGAAACGTCGGTAAACTTTTACCAGACTACACGACACCCAGAAGACACGTCATCTTCAGACTCACCGCTGTGAAAACCTCAAATATTACATTGCTTCAAACTATTTAAACATTTATTTTTATCTGGGGGTAGCAATTGATCATTGCTTGCTTAAAAAGGGATGCTACTAATCAGCTAGCAGACATCAGCATCTTTTGATGAGAAGAGATGTAATATAATTAAACGAGTGACTGATGCCAGTAAAGGAGATGTACAGTCAGACCAGTGATAAAGTGTGGTTTAATTCCCAGTCTGGTTGATTGATTTTCACTTATTCAAAAGTTTAAAGTTCTTTTATATTAAATTCAACTATATCATATTACTAGAATATTTAGTTTGTTACAGAAAGGGTGTCCAAACTGTAGGTGCAAACTGCATGCAGCTTCTTACAGATTCCACTACAGCATAAGTTCATTGAAATGTAATGGTCTGAAAGGAAAGTAAACCTATGAATAACAATTAAATATGTTTATAGAATCGGCATAATTTGTAAATGTATCATCATTTCTCGCTGAATTTCAAAGAGACAGATCTATTATATGATTAAATTTGGCGCTGTTTTTAAACCATTCTTAGTGCCTTTATAAACATGTTTGTTGCCAGTCAGACAATGCAGGCCTGATAATAACAATTATATTAAATTACTAAATTATTAATCATAATAAGAGTAACAAAAGCTATTCTATAAACTACCTACAATCCATCTAACCAGTCTATGCCATGCAGGCTCTGGGGGGGATAGCCCCTACTCCAATCAGTATGGTAATTAATTAATATATTGTTATATGATGTTAACGTACAAACATTTATTTAATTATCTTGGCATGTTCCATTAACTCTGTAACACTGACAGTCAGAAGAAAGTATTAATATTGGTCTGCGGGGTTGTAGGTAAATACCAGTATTTTGGAGGAACATACTGCCTCTGTCTTCAGTCCTTTATGCTGTATGCCATCAGTGTTTATAATAATTGCACAAGTAATGTTGTACTGCAACTCCTATACTTGAACATTTGCTTCTCTTGTGATATTTGAGTTTCTCATGACAATGAAGACGTCAGTCTTCATCTTCTGGGTTGTAATGTTGTGTGTGCTTCCGATACCATTCGTTTGGAGAAATCTATTGTCTCCATCCTCAGACTGAGGATATAATTAATGCCTTTAAATTGGTGTATCCTGTCACAGTGTATTATTGACACATTGAGTAGTATAGTTCTTTAATTAAATTTTTTGCACTATTTTACAGTAAACTTACTTCAGTAACTACCATCAACTACTGTCTGTTTTCCTCCATATCCCTTTGCTATCATTATATTAATTTCAGATCATAACTATGTATCTTTTCTAGAAACAGAAAAGAATTTATGCCAAAGGCATTACAGTCTGATGTTTCATATATATCTACTGTTCAAAGTTATTGACACTACATATTGGTTAGAAATGATTTCTGTATTTTATGCCACGTGCTAATCTGTTATACAATGAGGCATTTCTTTTTTACAGGTTTTATGAAGTTCAGTTTGAATGTCCTGTCATGCACAAATTATAATTGACTAATACAAAATCTTCATACTCACCGCTGTGAAAACCTCAAATCTTACAAAATTAAATTTGCTTAAGAATTTTTAGTGTAGACCCCACAGAACCAAAATTTATTAAAGCATATGTGGTAGTTTTGAAAATTCAGTATTAAATTTGACGGGACATTACATTCCCAAGGTTTATACGGCATTTATTCAAAGAATAGAAATGTAGAGAAACATTGAAAGAACAATTTGAACTCGGTGGCTAGGAATAAGGCTGACGGTACAACAGTACTACTGTAAGTCACTTTCTGTGAGACAACTTAAATGTTATTTTATTTTCATTGCTTTATTTATATAAATAAGCTTCCCAAGACTAGCCAAATATAAATTTGTTGATGTTGAAACATTTAAGAACTGTAATTTTCACTGCTTTTCAGGAAGAGGGCAACAGCAGATGTAATGAGCAAACTCTGCGGTCCAGGAAATCGGGAATATATGGACATCGCTTCAAGGTCATCAGCGTCTTTCTATGATAACTGTCCATAGCACGACTGAGCACATGTTACAGTTCCTGAAACATTCAGTGAAATTGGTTTTCAGACGCTCCCAGTAAAATCTGAATTGTGACATAAATTAATCAGTGTATGTAAATTGTAACTGTGCGTTACAAGGTTTTCTTTTCAACTTGGTTGCCATTGACAACCGTTATCGTGGCTGTGCAGAGGCAATGAACGTTGAACTTCCCGACGTTCCGTCCTAGTATTCATGATGCTCTCCTCGGGTTCCAGAGCCTGGGGAAGAGCATGATCTGGTATGGGCAGTTCTAGTCCAACTTCTGACCTCCGTCTCATCACTCAGATGATACTATAGACTACATTAGTCCTTCGTGACAAGAGATCTGTTGATATAAAACAAATGGCCGGGCGATGAACGAAGTGCATGAAGTAGAATAACCTTAAGCATGACTGTGCAGTACGGCATCAGATTGTGATTATTAATTACAGTTTGTTGGATAGTCCGAAAAGCAAAGCAGTTGTTGCATGCTTTCTCTTCAAGACATTGTTATTTTATCCTGCATTTTTACAAATTGACGAATAGTGGTTTTCGGGTAATTTCCAACTCCGTCCACAAATAAGATGGTGGCTGCAAGACTTACGTATTATTTTATTTATTTTGAACGCAATATATGGAGGTAAATATATTTGTTAACAGTATTTGGAAAAGCTGCATTCGTTTCAGCTGATAATATTGGCATTATATTTTCTATGGGTGGATATCAAATTGCCATTAATATAAACAGCTGGTGGCCACAGTCAGATATTCTCTTGTAGAAATAGTTTAAACATAATTGATAATAGGATTC